GCCTATTTTTTTAATGTTTTTTAAAACCCCGTATTTTTGCCACTAATCAACTATGGCAAATGCACATGTTGTTTCTCATCATTTTTTTTTTGGGCCATTACAGCCTTGGGTAAGCCCTTTTCCTTAAAAAGGACCAGCCTATTTTTCAGTGGCCTTTTTACAATTTTGTACAACTTGGAATATTGTTTTTACTCATGGCCTTCTCTATCATTCCACGGGTCAAGCCATCGTGGAATGTGCTAATTGGTCCTTTCAGAACTGTCTTCACAAACAAATCAAAAAGGACGGATCTATAGTAACACAACAACAAAAACATTACACCAATTGAATATTTCCATTCAAAATTTGACCACTTATCAGAGACACTTTCAACAGAAAACAAGCCTGCCTCCGCCACTAGTATATTATTGGGCATTATCAGACAAAGCATGGTTGGGACCGGTCCCTCTGATCACTTAGGGGCGAGACTACGCTGCTGTGCTTGCTCCTCCCAGAAATGGCCAAGGTGACTCTACAGATAGCACAGCGACCAATCCAATCCCGACATGCCAGTCGGCCAGTGACATGGGGAGATGTAAAGAACTTGAACACCAAAGCACAGGCAGTGCAACAACAGCAACAAGTAGAACAAATCCCCAGAGAACCTGTGTGCTACCATTTTTGTGGTTAACTGCAAATTCCTTAGCCATCATTTGTTTGTGTCTGATCATTAACATCTGCCCTTTGACAACAGCAACTGTCATCCCACCGCTGCCACCAATCATTCGAGCAACAAATGAAGCAAAATCTATGGGTGCAGCTGGCTAACATCACACAAAATAATGTATTTTGCTTATCTGAAATGTATGACATGAAACATTTGTTTTTTATATGTTTAATCTGTTTGTACCCCTTCTGCAGTAATTCAAAACTTCACTGGCTTGAATAGAATTTTATTTAATGGGAACTTTACCTATATAGCTATATCTAGATGGAGAGTTACTGCTTATTATCCACCCTCTGACGCTATTGCTTGGCACACCCCGGTGGTAGCTATCCCTGCAAATATAATATGTGGCACTAACTATGTCTTTAGTGGGCATGCCAGGATTTGCTATTCGTGCCCACCTCAATATTAATGCTATTTCTTCAGCTATGTCAGCAATTAACCATTTTAGCTATGAAGCATTTAGCCAAAGAAAGCACTCGCTCACGCACATATATTATGCAAAATCATTTAGCCTTAGATTATTTGTTAGCAAAAGAAGGAGGTGTATGTGGGAAATTTAATCTTACAAATTGTATTGAAATTGAAAAATGAAATGTTTGGTTCTTGGTTCCCCAAACTTCCTGGACTCCAAGCTATTGTAGCTTTAATTGGACTGATTGCTTTAGGTTGTATAGTAATACCTTGTGTTTTACCCATCTTTGTAAAATTCATGTCAAAAAGTTTATCTTTGTTAGCGGAAAAACGTGCAACAGCTCAAGTAATGGCTCTATGGCAACGCTCTGACCCAGTACAATATCATCTTTTAACTATGGAAGCTGACCATGATGACATCAATACAGGAGACAGACTGTCCCATCCTGAGTTATCAACTGAAGGAAAACTTACTACATTTAAAGCCAACCCATTTATCGAACTGACCAATGAATCAGAAGATAAAGATGACTTGGCAAACTTTAATCTGCATAGTACCAGCATGTATGAAATGCAACCAAAAGAC